ACATACAGTGCTTTACAGTTTAGAATATGCTTTCACATAAATTGTCTGATACACACAAACCTGAGAAGCAGGCATCATCCACATTTTAAAGAGAAGAAAACTGAAATTCAGAGACACCATATGACTTGATCTAGGTCATGCAGCTAAAAAGAGACCAAATCAGAACAACTGAAGAAGCCACTAAGGAGCCAGCATCCACTATCTGGAAAAATACCACAGGCAAGAACGTCAGTGTAAACAGAGTACACAGAGTAAACCTACATCTACATACAAAGCTTTTCATGCACACGGGAGAAGGGCAGAGTCCTGCCGAGATGCTCAAGATCTCCACTAAAAGGATCAACAAATAACCATTGCAGTTTTGCATGTGATAACCATGAGCTGATTCAATAGTTTCCACTAAACTACCAGTGATTTTATCTTCTGATCGCTGTGCCTCCATAAGTGTAATCAATAATAGCACACGGGAAATTAGTACTTGTCGAGCTCTTATTAAAATGTTTTATATTGTTTTAATACAGACACAGCCCACAGGGCACCAGGGGCTACAGAGGATCAAGGCTGTGTTCAGGCAGACCAGGCTGAGTCCAGGCTCTGCCATTCACAGCAGTGAGGCTAAGTGCTCACCTCCCCTGGCCTCCTACCATGTAAGTAGGCTATAGTCAGGACTGGGTAAGACATTGCATGTGGAACTCCAGGACCTGGCCACAGCAGGGCTTCCAGATGGCTCAGCTTCTATTTCTCTTCATTATATCAAAAGAACAAACATTTGTACAACTAATATAATATGTAAAGTGCTTTCAAATAAAGAAAAATTTGATCTAGTCATACTTATTAAGTAACATGTTCAGATCAAGAAATATTAGACTTTCAGGTGAATTGACTTTCTAATAATTTAGAAACAATGTAGGAAGAGTTTTGATAGTACCTAATACCTTACCCCAGGCAACGATGTTATCGTTTTATTTAGATGAGAGCATTCAAAACACAAGAACTTCTACATTATGGATTTTACTCACTAATATGTAAAAAAAAGTTTGTGCAATGATATGCATTTCTCTTACTATTGAGGACTCTCTATTTTATCATGTGAAAACACAAATTCTATTTCATTTCTCCATATGTATTTCTTTAAATGGAGGCCTCTATAAATGGTAGTAAGTTCAGCATTTGGAAACTTTTTCCTTTTTTTTAAAAAAATAGATTTGAGGGATGTGGCCCTTAAACCTTATTAATTCTATCACTCTCCTTTATTATTTGTTTTAAGAATACTTTGACTTCTTCTAAGTATCATTCATGTCTAAAACCTCCAAAGTTTGCAATTAGGTCCTAAATACTGGAAATATTTTCCTCCTGATATATTTCCCATACTTACAGTTACTATCTCATCTCCACCAAATTCAGATCAAAAGCTGATCTGCCATGTGCTATATGCACATTAATAATGTGTGGGACATCTTGTTTGTGCTAAAATGAGATAACAGATGTTGAAGTACTCTGAAAATTTAAAAGCATTATGCACATTAAGGCATAATTATAGCCATGTGCTATATGCACATTAATAATGTGTGGGACATCTTGTTTGTGCTAAAATGATATAACAGATGTTGAAGTACTCTGAAAATTTAAAAGCATTATGCACATTAAGGCATAATTATACAAATGTGACTGCAACATTTATTAGGGATATGGAAATGGGGGAGCATTTTAGAACTTTTGGGCAAATGAGTCCAATTTAGACTTATAGGCTACAGAAGCTATGTTTTCAACAAGATAGAAAACCCATTGTTTAGATGTATTTACATCATTACATTCAGTAGTTTAGAAAATGCTGTTAGTGCTGAACTCAATTTTGTTTCTCACGTATTCATTTTAGATAATTTGATGTCAGAATATTGCTATATCAGAATAAAAGCAAACAACAGCCACAATATTTGCAAATCCTCTGCATTCCAAGACAGGTATTTTAAAATATTGGTTCAAACTGAAAACAAGCAATTAAACACCACTCTAGTGTTACATTTTAAATATTTGCTAACAAAGAAATTTGATAGGTGGGATAGACATTAAAAAATTGATCTCAATTTAACTTTAAGCATTGGGTTTTCCAAGTTAAGCAAAGCACTTTCAAACATTAGTTGAGCAGACCTTAAGAAGGCAAAACTCCTCTAATTATCGTAGCCTCCAAGGTTTCTGGCCTTGGGCTAGAATTCCACATCACTCTAGTGGGTTCTCAGTTAAACCTGAAGAAGTAGAGGCGGTTCTAAGAACATGAATCTGTCCTGGTGATTTTCTCTCAACTGCATTCTCCTTTCTCTTAGTAGGTAAAAAAGAAAGCCTGAAGGTGGACTTCTGCATTTCAGTGGGAAACAGACACAGGTTAGGCAAGCATTAACCAAGCTGCAGTAAACCTCTTGGGAGACGCCCTGAAGGAAAGAACCACAGGAACCGAGCTCCTGGTTCACAGGAGGTGTAACTAGCTGCTTGCTTACAGGAATTTTAATTGCTAATTCAAGTCTTTAGGAAGGCTCAACTTGATTGGCTAAGCATATAACTTCAGGAAAGCTCAACTTGATTGGCTAAACATATAACTTCAGGAAAGAATATGGTCTACAAAGAGCATAACAGGTTGTTTAAAAAAAGCCAATGGATTTCAAAAAATATTACAGCAATGACCAGAAAAAGGAATAAGAAAAAAAAAATCAATTGACTGGTTGAGTGGTGGAAAAGTGACATAAATCGAACAGTTGGACAACAAATTTACTGAGTATTTTATATTTTGGCAGGTTAAAGTTTGAAACGGCACTATTTTTAAGAAGCACGCGTTCATTTTCCCATGATTTTTGGTCTTGCTAGACTAGAGAGCCTCCTCAAAACAAATTTAAAAACTGTAATTAACACAACCTAAAGAGTTGTAATCCCAGAGTCCAGTTAAAGTTTGAAAGGCACTATTTTTAAGAAGCATGCGTTCATTTTTCCATGATTTTTGGTCTTGCTAGACTAGAGAGCTTCCTCAAAACAAATTTAAAAACTGTAATTAACACAACCTAAAGAGTTGTAATCCCAGAGTCCCTTTTTCTTATGGATCAGATTACCGTAGTGCTATCTCCTATTTTCTGTGCAGCAAAAGTGGGTTTATTGATTGGCAGGATTTTAGAAAGCTTCTAATAAGCTCCTGGTTGCTGAATGACCATGTCTCCATCGGTCATTCCATCGCTGTCAGTCGTACACATGAGGTAAATACACACACTCTCACAGAAGCTCTCTGTAGCTCACCACATCCCATCACCTCGCTTTTCTCACCCTTCTTTCCACTTTTGGGCTTTTCTCACCTGGCCAGATAGAAATTCATTCAATTTTCTCAAAGCAAGACAATTCCTGACAGGGGTGCATTTCCGACTGACGTAACAGAGAAAAGATTTGGGGTATTCAAAAGACGGCACCGCCCCTGCTTGTGAATCTCAGGAGGAAAGGAAAAGAGCGCTTTTGCTAGGTTAACTCTGAGTGTCCATCCATCGGCCGAAGAGTAATTAATTCCGTCTTGAAAAAACTTCACTACGTGGAGAAATTTCATAAATTATACAAGCAGCTGAGATTGGTAATTCTGTTACCAAAGTTGACAAGTCAACAATGGCTAATGTCATGGAAGAACTATCCTACCTTACCCACATGATTCAAGGTTAAAACAAATCATGTTTCTAGAACGCTGTCATTAGAGAAATTTAACCACATATGTGATCCACAAATATTAACAAATAGGAAATAAATGAACAGCTTGGGAACAAAAGCTTTCAGACTCCCTTTTACAAAGAACACCAGGGAAAACAGTGATAAAGATTAAAAGACAATACCTAACTACAGGGAAAGGGAAATTTATTCTTTTCTTGACTCTCCTACATTTCCCACTTCTCTTCAATAAGAAGTTCTCCATAGCCCCAGCATTGCCATTCCCTGCCCAGAGGACCTTGAGAACAGTTCAATATTGAGAAAACTGAAAGGAAACACAATATCCCAGGCCCTCTCACTCCAAGGCATTTGCAGGCAGAATAGTCACGGCTTCCAGATGCTCACATTTTTCTTTCATGAGCTACAGCATAGAATGTTTACCAAAAGCTTTTAGAAACAGAATCTCACCAAACAGTTGATGAAAATATTTAACAACCAATGCAAAGCGATTACAGTCAAATTTTCACCTTGAGATTCTCATCTTAGGTGTGGGAGGCAGAGAGAAGACTCTTAGCACATCAGTGTGAACCTAGAATGAGGATGAAAAGAGTTGATTCTGCCAACAGTTGTCAACAAATCCACATCTCTGAATCTCGGTGAAACTGCACAGCTTGCTGCCTGTCTGCACGTGCCTTAAGAAGAGCACCACTGTTTGGTTATGGCTGACTCAAGTTTCTCAGCAGTGAGCAGAAGACAGGCTAGACAGGGACATCCATACCAAAAGCATGGAAAGGTACGAAAGTGACAGGTGTCTCTTTTCAATTATTTGTGTCAGGCAGCATCATCATTTCCAATCTTTCAGGGTGACAATATGAGAAGAGGCAACTAGCCCCAGTAGCACAATTCTATACAAACGTGTAAACTTGGGAGGAAATTAACAACATTACACAGAGTTAATCCTTCCCCCCAACGTCCCCCCATTATCCAACCAATGTACATTTCATAATCTAGACTTTTATCATTACTCATTTTCATTATGACTAGATCCTGACACAGTATTATTCCCTTTAGGGCAAAGATTTTCTGGGTGCCATGAGAGCAGACATAATTTCTTCAGTAAGAATGGATAATAAGGATGTGTGTATACACTCTATTCCCAGAAATTTCTGTTTCAGTCTAGTTCAAGCCAGCAGGAAAAGAAAGGCACGGCATAAAGTGGTAAAATTCTGGTGTGTGTAGAAAACAAGCATCCACCGTAAGCTACTGTTCAATATTAGAATGCATTACCTGACATGGGTGAAAGGCAAACAGATCAGAGGCTTTTGATACCTTACCTGGGCCATCTGCCTCTCCAGTTTTGATCGGGGAATATCATCAAAGTAGTTTTCATTCCTTCTCCTCCTTGCATCGCCCTGCATGATAATGTGAGGAACGTCTAGGGAGCCACCAGTGGTGTAAGTGCTTTGGCTAAGTGATGGAGACAACTGAGGAGGAGTGTGATTACCACTGGGTTCCTGAATGGAAATACATCATGAAATAAATACCAAGTTCTGTGGCTAACCTCTGGTTTCAAAATTGAGAAATACTGACAAGACAAAATGTGGGGGTGGGGAGCTGTTTTTGAAACAACCGCCAAGGAATGGATGATATCCCACCACTTTATCAATGGCATTAACTAGTCAATGCTTTTTCCCCTAAGCATTTCAGGTCAAAGGTTTCGAGAATAAAGAATCAAGCTCTGTTTGCATAAATCAGCACTATGGATGATCTCAGGAGGCAGGCACACCTATCTATGTTGGGCCCCTGACACTAGCATGTGTGTTTGCAAGAGAAGGGACTGGGTCTTCATGGGGGCAGAGCATCCTCGCCAGGGTAGATACCATGACGAGAATGCTAAATGGAGATCCAGTCTGTCCTGATCCTCCACCAAGGGGTAGTCTGACAATAGGGCCGAGAAGAGGACACAGTATAGCAACACAGCACGTCACACGCACAGACTGCAGAGCAATGCTTATCGTGACAGAGGATGCTTTTCAATGGCAAAGACGACTCAAGCAGAGGGGCACTGGCCAGGAGTAAGAAAAGGGGTGCAGACAGCTGAGGATGGGGATCGTGCTGCTTCTCCAGGCCACTTCTCCCCCAGATGTCCTGGACCTCCTTTGACAGATTGAGATCCTGCACTTTTTCTTGGGAATGTCTGTCTTTGATCTGTTTGTTGTTCCCTTAAGTCCCTTCTGGGGAGTCAGAGTGAGAGGTTCGGAAGGGGGAGAGAGCAGGGTCAGCAGCAGGAAGCAGCTCCTCTAGAGAGTCCTTTTAGGCTGATTCCACTGACGGTGACTGTATCTTCCTCCCCTCCCTTGTTGCAAAATGAAGGCAAGACAATCATCCCTTTCTAGCCTCATTTCCCCCAATTTATTTGAGGTTCCTCTTCCTGAGGGGAATAATGAGTCCTATTTCTACTTTTACTGCTCCCAGAGCCCTCGAGTAGCCTCCAATATCCAGTGTATCCCAATTCCCCTAACAGTCAGTTTTCCCCATGGCTCCCTCCTGGAGCCAGTCCTCTTGCATTCCCTGAAATCTTTTGTGTGTTTCCTTCTCCTTCAAGGCTGAATCGGACTGAGGATCCTAACAGCGTCCCTCCTGCCCGCCCCTCTGCTATCCTGCAGTCACTCTGCTGTTGGCTGAAGTTCCCTGAGCAGAGGTGGCTGCTGCAGCTCACCGCTGGATGGCACTTGTGGAAGTGCCGTGCTGTGTCCGTCATGTCTGTCACTACTTATCCTGCCACTCGCAGAAAGGAAATCGGAGTGGGAACCCTCCAACGTGCCAGGGGGATCTCAGCGTTTTGGTGAACTTTAGGAAAGTTCCTGGCTGAAGTTCCCTGAGCAGAGGTGGCTGCTGCAGCTCACCCCTGGATGGCACTTGTGGAAGTGCTGTGCTGTGTCCGTCATGTCTGACACTACTTATCCTGCCACTCGCAGAAAGGAAATCAGAGTGGGAACCCTCCAACGTGCCAGGGGGATCTCAGCGTTTTGGTGAACTTTAGGAAAGTTCCTGTGGGATTCGTGAAAACAAGTGACTGTCAGCTTCTCCTGTTGCTGCCATTTGAGAGAAATCACCTCTCCTGTTTTCTCTTTCTCTCTGCCCTTTCCTTCTTACCTTCCTGCCCCTCCCTCCTGTGGTTTCTCTCTAGTTTTTCTACCCTTAATTCTGAATCATGGCTGAAATAAAGAAATATAGTTTATTAAGTTTTAGATTTTCTATTCTTAACTTTTGAAGTGGGTAAAGCTGCATAATTTTCACTTCTTGAAATACAGAAGACCCTCAGGTTAATTTTCGTATAACTTCGTATAATGTATGC